TGCAGTAGTTGAGAATGAAACTTGAGAACACTGTCATCGTTTCAACAGAGTTGCCACATGCATAAAATGGGAAATATAACAAACAACTTAATTCACATCGAAAATTGAAAAGGGAAGGTGTTTCATAAACTTTAGGTTAAGAATATATAAAAATGGTGTTGCCACTTTTTTTTTAGAAAATTAAAAAAGCAATAAATGTGTTCACAGATTACGAATCAAGGTACTTTTGACTCTGTAGGTTTCAGTTGGAACCAATTACCACTTAGTGCCGACATACAGTCAAGCAAAAAAGTCTACATACACAGCTACATTTTGCAATTTTGGCTAATTGGTAGCAAAAATTAATGAAGTCTTTATGTCAATATTTAAAAATTTTGTAAAGAAGTTTACAAGTGAAACATAAAATTAATTCAATTCAATAATAAATACAAAAATAACAATAACATGCAAAAATCACTGTAAATAAGCCAAATACAGCTACAACAATAGTTGAAATTTTTTTTTTTTTTTGATAAATATTTTTAATTTTTTATTTTAGTATTTGATTAGTCCAGAAATTTCGTAAGCAATTTCAACACCAGGCAAGAGTCAGGGCAATGTTTAGAATTTCACGGCTGCTGATGACAAATCTGCGTATTTTCTTTAGATAAAGCCATAGAGCCCGAAGCCATAACGCTTCGGCATTCATGTTCACCTCGCATCAAGCACAGTATTTACCCAAACCATAGATCGGCCATCATTTCAAAATACAAAATATCATTTCAAATAAAATAATGTTGCAAAATATTTAGTTTTTAGCAAATATTTTGGCTATAAAGTGGAAATGAAAGCTCGAAAAAAGGAGTCCTCTTTTGACGCTATCCATGAAGCAATCCATTTTTCCAATTCTTCGAAGGATTGAAAATGTTGATCTGCCAGGCCGTGTGCCATCTAACGGAATAGGTGGAAGTCAGAAGGGGCGACATCTAAGGAATACGGCGGGTGGGGCAAGACTTCCCATATCAGCGTTTCCAGGTACTTTTTGACCACATTTGCGACGTGAGGTCGAGCATTGTCGTGTTGGAGGATGACTTTGTCATGTCGCTCTTGATATTGTGGCCACTTTTCTTTTAGCGCGCGACTAAGGCGCATCAGCTGCGTTCGGTAGCGATCTCATCTATGTATTTTAACCAGCCTCAGCCGGTACAGCCACCTATTTGAAAACGGCGGAAGCAAAGTTGTACACCTGATATTTGAACTAAAATAAATAAATCTTAAAGTATTGTACATTTATTTTCTCTCCCAACAGTAAAATTGTAAGATAGTTTGAGAAAGATGTATGAAATTTACTGCCGGAATTGAGTGGATTTTATCTTTATTCGAACTAAAAATAACATATTTTTATATTGTACTCCACTACAAGGACCCAGCAGGCCTATGTTAGGCAAGTATAACCCAACATAATCTTAAAGTTGTTTTTCCTAATTAAATTAGGGCCGCAGCAAAGCACTGTCCACATATGCATACATACACGTATATAATTGTAAGTATATTCTATAATTCGCCTCAAAAACACGTAACAGTATTTAGGAGAGTGTCTACATCATTCCCTTCTTCGAAACACAATAGGGATTAAACAAAATGTTTCACAGACTTTTCACTTTCTATCAAATCTATTTACACAAGTCCATTCACTTTGTATAAGTCCAAAAATCAAAAGACTCACGATCCGATAGAATATTTGAGCACTTAGTCAAAGTAAATACTCTCTGCTATCTTGGTTAGTACGGGCCGAAGCTGTAAGTTTACCTTAATGTTAACATCTGCAATCAGAAAATGGACACATTAAGTCAATAGAAAACAGTTACGCTGATATTTCTTAATCTAACTTCGAATAAGTTTATTGCTTGTACCTCCAGAAAGTTTTCACTCATCAGTCGTTGGTTCGAGTTAGAGAAGAATATGTAGTGATCGATAATCTTAAGCGAGAACATTCTGAAACAGTGTTAACTATGGTTTTTATAACTTTCATGTATACACGTATGTATAAGTACCAGAAGAAAAAGTGGTAGACCCATCAATGTTTATACCAATCAGAATGACAAAGATGAATCGATTTAGCAAACTAGTCCCTCAGTTTTAGAAATGTTTGAACCAACCTTGGTACACAGATACACGGACAGATGGGACCACTATATTGGGCCCTAAATCTGTCAAAATAGTTTTAAGAGCGTGAACTTTGGCTTTTCAAATACTTATGATGAATTACATTTAGATGCTGAAAATCACCGATATCGGAGGACCTTATCATATAGCCCCCATATAATCGATTTTTTCAGATATGAGGTTTTGGTTAGAAAATCCTTCAAAAAAGCATTAGGAGCGTGAAATTTAGTATACTAGATACGGATATTCAAATAAACAGTGACACCGAAAATCATCGAAGTCGAAGGACTATATCATATAGCCCCCATATAACCGATTTTTTGAGATATGAGGTTTTGGTTAGAAAACTCTATAAAAAAGCCTAAATCACAATTTGCTCTAAGAGTTTTTAAACTTCAAAGACCAAATCCGAAAAATCTTTCTTATTTTCATTTCTTTACAAGTACAATACTAGCTTAAATCCGGATATTATGTAGACTGCCAACATTTGCAGGTCTAATTAGAAATATATAAATTATTGAGCGCTCCATGCACGTAAGCTTAAATTGTTGAATCTTATTTTTCAAACCAAGTATTGTCCACGTGCAGCAGGTAACGTTGTAACCTGCTTACCCCCCTGCAGTCTGCTAACCAGTAAAGTAAGCCTTCTTTCGTAATACTTGCATGTGCAACAGAATATTTGAGCCCCAAACTGCTTCACATACGAGTATCTACAGAAAATTGAAAATTTAAGTATTTATGTGATTTAATCACGCTCCAACATTTAATCTTCACTAACTTCCATGTACCTACTTGTTCGCAAAAATTGCGTTTATAAAAATAAGACGGAATTGTAAAACAAAAAAAAAAAAAACAAAAAAAATATTAAATTTACAAGAAAAGAAGATTTTTTAAGTAATACATTAAAAAAACAAGAATCTTTTAAACACATTTTAATGAATTGCATTTATATGTACATATTTATTACGTACTTCTTCAAGCGATTTTGTTCGTAATATGTGCTGTTCAAAATAATTTCTGGTATGTCATGAGAGTAAAAAATTCCAATTAACAAAAACTGTAATATATTGCAAACGGCCTACCAATTAAATTATTCACATTCGGACGTGTAACAATAAAAAGTTTATAAGGGAAACACTTACTTAAAATAGATATATTTTTAAATATATATAAAGCGGTGGTTGAATATACAAAATTAATTTTTTGTTTTTAAGTTTTTTGCGCGTCCAACAGCACTTCAGTGTGCCCTGAAGCGAGAAACTTTTAATGCACACGAATGTCTAATGTCTGCCAATATAAGTAATTAAAGGATTAGCATATTATGTACTTATGTACATATATATGTATATAAATATTAAGAATAAGTATGATTATAATAGAAACATTATTTTCACTTTTAAAGTAGTAGTCGTTTTTTAATCTAAAGTTACTACTTACACTTCTTGGTAGGGGTTTTAATGATAAAGCGAGCTATGGTATTTGACACTGACTATGCTTCTGAAGTGCTAATAAATTATTATGAGAGATTTTATCATATTTTGTTTATTTTACGTTTTTAAACTTTACTTAATTTTAATTTATTTTCCATTATTCTAATTTATTTTATTTAAAATTCTTTTTAATTTTATTTTATTAATTCATTTTATTTTGTTTTTATAATTCCTTTTAATTAATTTTATTTATTTTTATTTTTCTTAATTTTATCCTTTTATTTTTGCTATTTCAATTTTTAATATAATTTGATTTATAATTTGTTTTTGCGGCCATGTTATCTATATATTAATTTTTATTAAGTAAACTACGAGGCCTTGTTGTTTGTATGAATTGAATATTGGTTATACAACAAAGTAAAATTGGTAGAAGTGACAGGGATCGAACCAACGGATTTGATTTCATTTTTTACCTTATTTTTTAGTTCGATTCATTTTAAATTTTAATTTTTAATAATTTTGTTTGATACAATATTCTACTGAATTTATTAATGTTTCCTTTTATTTTCGTTATGTTATTTTAATATATTTTATATTAATTTATTTATATTTTATTTTATTTTTCTTTTTATATCATATTAATTTACATATCGTTTATTCGGTTTATTTTATTTATAACATATTTTTTTATTTTCATTGTTATTTATGCCATTTTGTATTACTTGATTTTATTTTAATAAGATCTTTTTATTTCTTTTCTTATATATGCACAATCTATTTATTATTTTATTTTATTTTATTTTATTTTATTTTATTTTATTTTATTTTATTTTATTTTATTTTATTTTATTTTATTTTATTTTATTTTATTTTATTTACTTTAATTTAATTTAATTTAATTTAATTTAATTTAATTTAATTTAATTTAATTTAATTTAATTTTATTTTATTTTATTTTATTTTATTTTATTTTATTTTATTTTATTTTATTTTATCTTATTTTATTTTATTTCATTTTAATTTTTATTTCTTTTTTAGTTTATTTTATTTTACTTTCTTGCTCAGTTTATGTTACTTTATTTTATGTATTTATTTTTTTTGTTTGTTTTATTTTATATTTTATTTTGTTGTATTTAATTTAGTATTTCAATTTTGTACTCTGGAGTATTTTATTTATATTTTATTTTATAATTTTTACTTACTTATATTATCACGTTTTTTATTTTATTATATTTTCCTTATATATTTTAGAATAAAATCATCTTTGAACTAAAATTAAACAACCAAATACTTGAAATAAATTCGACCGTATTATTTACAAATATTTTTCTCCTTAGGTCATGTTATTACACTTATTCTCATACTACCCAGAAATATGTTTTAAATATTTTAAAAAAATGTTTCAAAAATGTTTTAACAACTTACCGCATTATTTTTCTCTTGTTATTCGGATGTATACGATTCGCTGAATCCGGATCGATTTTCCTTAAATGGTTATGCAACAACTCAGATGACATGGCTGAAATTTCAGCAAGCGGCAAAAATAGTGGCTAAAAGGGCGAGAGATACAATATATATACATATGTACATAAAAGTTAAATATAACAATTACGTTGCTATTAATGAGGCAGAACTCGTTCTATATAACTATGTACAAAACACTTTATTTTTAATTTTCAAAATTTATATATATACATATATGGATGTACATTGGAAATAAAACTTGCTTCAACATTACTTACATTTTGCGCATTTTCCGTAGCCCCTGCATCTTCGCCTTCTCTTCTTGCTGACGTTCCTGCGTTGGACGTGTCAGCCTTTTCATCGGCATCTTTTGGACTCACTAGTATATCCCATAGTAACGATTCGATGTAGTAATTGGTGCCACCCACCACGATGGGGCATTTGCTTTGTGCTAAAAGGTTTTCAATCTAAATTGTTTCAATATTCAGTTAGGAAAATATCCGCATTATTTGTTTTGACATCTCATCTACGGTTCTTCACTGGGCTTTAAACTTTTGCCTAACACAAAAGAAAAGTTCAAAGCTGCTTTCATAATACCGAAACCACAGAACGTCACGTTTTCTGACAATGTAGGTATCAATGTATGTTCTAAGAAAAAAAATAAGTAAAGTGATACCTGTTTTGGTACACTTAACCAAGGAGGAACCCGATAGGTCACCCCTAAATAATAAAAAAAAATTACAACGCGAAATGAGTGGAAGAACCGACGGCTTTAAACTATCAGATGACAAAATAGGTTATGCAGTTTACTCTGAACCAGAGCGTCTTTCAAGCGGGTAAGATAGCCCATCTTTTAAAAATATATTTGGTAGCCAGACAGACATTAAGCCTTTCTAATCCGTCCAATATAATGCAGAGAGATCGTTCTTGGTTTAGGTCCCTAGCCATACGGACATCCAGACGAACTGGCCAAAGAGGTAACAGCCCTAACGTGTGCAATGGAACTAGACAAATCTGGCTATTAATAGAGATAAATAGAACCAAGTCTCTACTCCTTTTAACCGGAACCTCCAAAATCATAACAACCGGTGTAATATTCGAACATGGGGACTCATGGTAGAAGGATAGGCTGCTGCTCAATCATTCATCATCATTTTCTCGCAAATTCCTTCTTCGATTGAGCATTTAGAAAGGGTAAAAGAATCTATGACCAAAATAGGTATAACAATCGACCAGTAGGTCTAAGTGAGCTTAATCAGGGTTCCATGAAAGCAGTGAAGAAAATATAGTAGCAGTAGATGAGATTCGATAGTATATTCAGCACCGCTCGGAGAAACTCGGGCTCAGATCTTAAATTGAAAGCATACGACCAACCAACCAGGATCCTACATTTTCGAGTCAAATTTTATTCAGCGATAAGACCCATTTCTGGCTCCATGGTAATGGTATGTAAACAACCAAAATTGCCGCCCTTGGGACAAAGAGTAGCCTAAAGAGGTTCAAAAGCTGCCATTTCATCTAGAAAAAATAACAGTTTGGTGAGATTTGTGCCGGTATGCACGTAACCATCAATGGCAACCGTTATCGTGCTATGTTAGCCGACTATTTAGTGCCTGAAATTGAAGCTCGTCGACATGTGGTTTCAACAAGATGGTGCCACTTCCCACACAACATATCAATCAATGGCTTTATTGAAAGAACACTTCGGTGGGCAGATAACTCCACGTCTGGAGCCGGTCGATTGGCCACCAAGATAGTGTGATATCAGACCGTGAGACTTTTTTCTGTGGGGATATGTAAAATCCAAAGTTTATATGGGCAATTTCGCCTCAATTCAGGCCTTGGAGCAAAACATCACGCGGGTCATTCGCCAGTTACCACTCGAAATGCTTGAACGACTCATCGAAAATTGGACTTGACGGATGGACCAACTGGGACATAGCAACGGCCGACATTTGAAAGAGATAAGCTTCAAAAACTAAATGTCTAAGAATGTGCTTTCGAATGATAATAAACATTCCCCATTAGATATAAAGTTTCTGTGATTTTTTCCTTAAATGGATCGGGTTTTGGCCGAACTCCTTCTCCTGTGGTATTCTTGCTCTTGATGTTATTCTAACCAATAGAGGCAACTGCAGTTTATTCTAAGCCGCCTCATGTCAGAAATACACTCGAATGGCTTGACATTCCCTGCCAAGGGCCTGCCAAGGGCGACGACATTAGAAAAAGTAATTTTTTTGGGCTTTTTGAACATCTTTTTGAAGATCATTCAAAGCTTAACTCTGTTAAGACAATATCACTAAGGCACCTTAAGGAACTACTTCATTCGGCAAATGTAATAATGTTTCATAAATTACCGGGCGAAAAACTTCATAATAATTTTTTGTTCGGTTTTCAAACAAAATTATCTATAAATATTTTTTCTTACTTTTTTTTACCAAAAATTGCTTTCAACTATTTATTGTTTGTCCACCAAAAGAAACTAATTACATAAAAATTAACAGTCAATGCGAAAATTTTCGGCGAAAAATTGTTTGGCGAAAGAGAGCATTCAAGAGAACGGCAGAATTTCACCAACTACAGCAAAACGATTTCGCTGCAGAGAGTTCATAGTTTAGCAACGGATTGGTGAGTTGCAAACGACAGGATGTCCGGGCTATCCATGGTATTCAATGGCCTTTTGGTAGGTGCCTCAGGATTTGCTTTGTTCTCTATACAGCCCGCCGAACATCCGTATGCTTTCTCCGCGTGCGCCTTTGGACTCTGCCATGGTTTGCTGGGCATTATACATGCCTACAAGCAAGGCGACGAAGGCGACAGTTGCAATAAAATCCGACAGATATCTGATAGCGTTATGGAGCTTGTACATTTGCCGCTGATAAATATTGAATTATATTTGGCATCGAAGGAGACTAGTGCCTTGGCTTTGGGACATGGTCTCTTTGTGATACCGCTCGCTTTTGATTTGATTGCGAAACTTTTCACCGATGAAGGTGACGATAGCAATACTAATACACTGAAGGATCTGACGATTTTGGGTAACATTATGTCCTTGACATTTTTGGCTGTCAACGAGAGCAATTACATATACGTAAGCATGGCCTTAACCGCCTTCCTGACGAAATACGGTTCCATACTCTTGGATAGTTACTGGGAGGGCTCACTGGAGAATACTGTACTCACCGGCTACTCCTTGTTTACATTCCTCGCCAATTATGCAATCACCGAAAAACCAGAATGGATGAAAATGGAATAAAGTGAATGGATTGGATGAGCTTGGGGGGCTGAATGCATGTTGTCACGGGAAAATGCTTGTAAACATATCAATTCATGAGATTCGAGTTTTAGACCAAAGAATATAAATAAATTTCAATTTGAAAAAAAAAAACAAATTGTTTTGAATCCATGCATTTTGGTGGGTACGAAATGAGGCACTAACTTGTGGCAAAACATTGGGGAGACTTAAGATGAATTGGGAAAGATTTGTGCCAAGGTTAGAATGTTCTCCAAAGTGTGATTGGGATTGGGTAGGCAAAGCCTGGAGAAACGTACTTCTTAAAAAGAAGTGGCATGTCCAAAGTAATAGAAGTTTCACTGAATGATAGGACGACACGCGGGAAGACTATGGGCTTCATATAAAAGATACTGCAAGGAGGATGAGGAGCAGGAAACAATCACCCATCTCTTATTCAGCTGTTCAGCTTTGAGTAGAGTTAGGTTTCGCAATTTTGGCACTCTATTGTTATATGGTCTATAGACGATGACCCTGCTGAAAGTCACGAATCTAAGGAGAGCCAAAACGCCTGGATAATGATGCCAGCTGACTGGCTTTCTGAGCTTTGTATGTCATTTTAAAGCTCTGAACGTCAGTCGGTTACACAGATTTTCTACTATTGAGTGTTTCCGAATTGTGTATTTGTTTATCGATTCGATAAGTCTGTTTATCGGTCAAGAGTAAGGAATATTTTGCACGTTTTATTTATAAACAAATAAATGAGAATTTTTATGTTTTTATTTCTTTTAATATTTTTTTATTTAATTTTTTTTTAATTATTTGTTTAACAAATTCAACGTACATACATACATATGTACAGCCATATAGTACATATGTATATTAAAAACTGAATTATTTTTATTTTCTTTTGGCGACTGTTTGCAGTGTCTCGCTTAAGTAAAGAAACGCAAGCAAAAAACGCAAAAAAAAAAAGAAAAAAAAATACTGCAAAAATGTGACAGCCAAAACAACAATAATGGACGCTACCCAAATGAAAACATTAATAAATGTTTGTTCAGTGTTTGCAGCATACATACAAGTACAATATACAACAGAGGGGCGTCTGCAGCCTTATATATACATATATATATATATGTATGCATGTATGTTTGGTTGGGCTTTGTAGCTATGTACATATGTATGTAGAAATGTACTCGCTTGATGCATACAGCAAGAGCTTTTGTGCCAATTGTTGTAGTTGCGCGCATGACTTGCCAATCGACGTCTGTTCTACACTTGCATACGAGTATCTACATAAATACATACAAGCGTCTGCAACCATAAAACCAACTGTGCACGTGTATGTACATGCATACATACATACATACATATATGCGTGGCTTTGTTTGTTGGCGGCGTCGAATGCGCTGATGCGTCTGCGCGGCTGGTTAGCTGGCTGACTGCCGGCTTATCTTTACGCCCCGCCACCTAACCGACCCGACTCGGCCCGGCCCTTGTGCAAATGCGACTAAACTTTGAGTGCGCATGCAATGCGGTTTGTTTATTAAAACCGAAACGCTTAAGTGTACTCATGGCCAAAAAGCCGGCCGGTCGGTCGTACGGCCGTGCGCGCGTCGTTCAGCCAGACCCGGCGTCCAATCGGTATTGCTGCTGTTTTCGTTTGGTTTTATTTTGTTTTTTTTTTTTTTTTTTTTTTTTTTTTTTTTTTTT